AGGATTGAAATTTCGCTGGAAGAGCTTCAAATTCTCGACAAGATTTCACGCGGTTTTCCACAATGTAACTTTTATTGCATGTTGCTCGAATGAGCCCGATAGCAGATTTTATTTTAATATCTACAGTACTATTTGTAGTAAGTGTTACTTGAAGGAACCCTAGACCTGGATGGGTCAACACGCATAGATTTTATAAATATTTACAGGACTATATGAGTTTGTTTAAAATGCAAATCAACTTGAACCTGATCCGATTCAACGGGGATTTAATTATGGGCGCATTGGTACGTTTATCCAGAGAACAATACACGATAGGCAAGTATTAGTATTGTGAAGCCCGTCTTAATTGGTTGCTCAGCACTTCCCTTACAAAATCCAAGACACATGGAAATCGATTAACAACATACGAGTAAAGTTCCATTAATTCTACTACATTTAAGAATTAGTACGTACTCCGTAGTGCTCCTGCGATGTGTCGCGGAGGCTGCATAACAATTTATGCTGCTTGTGCACGCTGACACTCTCAGTTTTCCCGCAGTCACTATCTCCCACTAGCATTAAGAGCAATTATGCGACTCTCCATATTCCTCTTAATGCTTGTTTAATCGGCGCATCTTTCGCAACTACGTTCGCCATCGGAGGGATCGCAACGAAGGAAACGCGACTTTTGCGATCGGGTGCAGCTCAAATCGCCAACCAAGAAGAGAGGCCCATCTTGGGGTCGTTAAAGAAGCTGATTCCAGGAACAAGCGCCTTTGTGAATGCAAAGACACTCAGTGCAGCGAAGAAAGAAGAGAAACTAGCAAAGAGGAACGCTGAGAAATATCCTAAACTGGACGACAGTAACTATATGACGAGCTCTGTGTTCCCGACATTCCACAAACACAAGATGTCTCCCGCGGATGTCGAAGATCTTCTCGTTAAACTCCTCGTGAATTCTAAAAAAAGCGCTTGACATTAGAAGTGTCTAGCAATTGTATACCCAAACAGTGTTCACACGCGTTTCAATCATGCTCTACAGTAGTACGGTGCTGATAGAACGAGTACCCCCCGTCCATCCAGTATAGGTCGTTGTAGCCGTGTCGATAGCATGAAACATGTGAAGATGTCCTATTTTCTTTGTCTCTCGTCTTCAATGCTAGTCGCAATTCACTCTCCTACCAGCTTAAGGACTAAGCCAATGGTTGCAAATACATATATATTTCCACAAACCCGCAAATTTCTTGTTTCGAGGTGACTACTAAACTTCCCCGACCTTTCATTGCTGCGGCGCCTCTTGCTCCTATAACTTCCGTCCTCCAGTCCGCCTACATTTTTTCCAACCACATGTATTCAACAACGTTAAGGCTTCTCAGATGCTGGTGGTTGCTGGTCATCGTCTTGCTGAGTGCTGTGAATGCAGCAGACATGACCCCAGAAGAAGTTCAGGAATGGATGCTCACGAACGAAGACTTCGACTGGGAACAGGGCGAGCCAGAGGCTGTTGTGAAGATTGCTGGCAAAGGTGTACAAGATGCAGACGGAAACCTGTACTTCGCAGGCTCCAAGACCCTCGATAACGCCAACGTAGACCTACTCAACATTTTTGTTGCACGTATCAACGCCGACGGAACTCTCGGCTGGACCAAAGAGGCAAATGCTCAAATTCTAATTGTATGTTACTCTGTATAGACCTCAGTTTTCGCTAATATTTGTTGCAGTGGGGAACGGATCAAGCGGACGCAGCGACATCAATCGCCATAATAAACGAGACAGATTTTACAACCGGCACAATGATAGAGTATCTCTATGTTCCAGGATACACGTGGGGCTACCTCGATGAAGGAGGCCATGCTCTCAACGGGTTCGGTCAATATGGCGGTCGAGATGTCGTGCTGGCCAAGATATCGCTAAGCGGAGAAAAAATATGGATGCGTCAGGTATGTTGTTCCAACTCCCTCTACAAAATATCACTCATGATTTTTTTTTGGTTTTTTTTTTATCAATTTATTAAAGTTTGGTACAACCGCCAATGATTTTACGTATGGAGTGGGGCTTGATGGTAGCTTCAATACGCTGCTACTATCGGGTGGATGCATCACCAACCAAGTGGACGAGACAGTGGAAGTCGATGTTACAGAGATCCTAGAGACCAGGATAAATGCCGGAATAATATCCGATTACGAACCTCAGATCATGGACCCAAAAACCAGAACCAGTACTCACAACCGAGAGTACGACTTCGCTGTGAATCTGAATTTTGATGGAGATATTCTAGACTATGCTATGGATGGAGGGGTGGCAATCACACCGCGAAGAAGGAGAATCAGGGAAGGGGGGCTGGTAGCAGAATACGTCGTGGTATTGAATCGTCAACCACTGGCGAATGTTACAGTAGAAGCCCGTGACGTACGTTTACTGGATCCAAGTGGGAAACCAGTTCAACAACTCCATTTTTTGACGTCACAGCGTATAGTATTCACGCCTAGAAACTGGAATCGTGAACAGCTGGTACGGCTAAAAGCTGTGGACGACAGCTTAGCTGAAGGTCGACACTACGCCGTTGTGACGCACTCTGTGAGCAGCATAGACCGGAATTTTGATGGCGAAGACACCCCGTTCCTCACCGGACGTAACGTGACTATCCAGATTGACGATAATGATCTCGCAGGGATATCTCTGTCAAGACAGCACATGTTTGTAGCTGAAGGTGGTGGGAACGAAAGTTATGATGTGGTACTAACGTCGAAGCCGTGGCATCCCGTTAAGATTTTTATTAAACAGCTACATGTTAACCAAACGGCTGTAACACCTGAAGCATCGAGTACAGTTAACAAAGATGGGACCGCAGTTCTCGTGTTCCAACCGGAAGACTGGAATAAATCTCAGCGTGTAGTGGTAAGTGCTGTGGACGATGTCGACTCTGAAGTGGAATATGGAGGCCTATACAACGGAGGTTTGTTACTTCACTACTCCGAGAGTAAAGACATTCGATACAATACTCGTCGTCCGCAATGTTTCAATGTTCCGAATTGTGATCCACTGGATTCGGCGAAATGTTTACTAAGGAAGGAGGAGCTACAAACTGGACAAGCTTCTGTACGGGTGTGCGATATCACGAGCGAATGTGCTTTTGCTCAAGGCAATGGGGCGTGTATCGCAAATGTTGTGGATGGCAACGGGAAAATCCCAGCTCGATTTGGAAATCCTCCGCTAAACCCTAAAAGATCAGCTGAAGTTTCGACATTTATGAGTTATGCGGCGATTATCGATATTTTTACAGAGGAAAAACGTGACTCAAATCTTACGACTCTATCAGACCAGAACTCAACATTGGAGTTCGTGCCCCCACCTCCGGAACTTCGTGGGTTTGTGTTGAGTTTTCTGGGGTTGATGAACGTTGAACAAGCCAGAGAAATGAGTGCATATCCTAGAAATGTTCAACACACTATCTGTGCTGGTTTGATACGATTAGAAACTATGCGTTGGTCGTTCGAAGAGTGGTCTGAAGGGTACGTGGATCGTGTTCTTGCTGCCGTCTTTGCGATGTTCCCTCAAAGTTACTCTCTTGAACGGCATTCATGGAATTGTGGTATGGCGAGGTTTCTTCCTAGTAACAGCATCGACGTGAGTATTTGGGATAACGATCCTGGTGTTACACTGTCCACCATTGCACTGGAAGTCACTGAAGGAGATACGATTGGTGCCGCATACGATGTCGTTTTGAACGCTCCACCATCCATTGGAGGCCATGCAAAGGTGATTAACTCTAACGATAAAACGCAGATATCGTCGGTGTATTGTACGAATAAACAATCGGATAATTGTGGGTTCTGGGGGGATAAATTCTCGAATTTGGCTGCTAAAATTTACAATCAAAGTACGTGGAATACCAATATTGGAGTTGATGCTCCTAACGTTAGTATTGCGATTATGGGGAACTCTCAGGTGACGATTTCTCCTTCGCTTTTAACCTTTACAGCCACAAATTGGTATGTCCCTCAGCGTGTTACAGTGCGAGCAGTGGACGATTCAGTGGCGGAATTGAATGTGAGTTATACCATTTCACATCGTGTGCAGAATTCAGCATACGGATACACGAATAGAACCGCATTTTGGTTCAAGGACACAAACGAACCAGCTACTGAGAGCTATCCTAGTTGGGATAGTATGAGTGGCTTAATACCTTACAACCCAATACCGACTGTTCTCCACTCACCGAATCGCGTGCTTGTTAACGTTTTCGTACGGGATAATGACGTCGCGAACATTGATGTGGTGGTTAACCAGCCTAAAGCGAAACTGGTAACAAAAGAGGCTAGTGATACAATTAATTGGGTGGGAGATTATGTCACAGCGCTAGCATTTCACGACGTATCGGTATCAACGACAGCAACAATCGCGTCATTGAGAAATATTATCGAGTTTGCATCTGACGTGAAGACGTTTATGAAGTTTCATCTACCGCGTTTACATAACGGAGACACGTCACTTCGTTACTCTAACGCAACACTAATACTTCATCAAACACCCTATAAGATCTTTAACGTATCAGAGCTGGATAACAACACATCGAGCTCGTCATCAGATGCTGCGAGTTTCACGAAGGAATATTTACTAAAAGTGACGGCAGTGGATAGCGCATGGACCACAGAGAGTATTCGTACTAGAACGACAACACCCCAACCTCTTTCGTTCCTAACGAATGGAGCATCGATAGAGATTTCAGCCAAGGTGGAGAAAAGTCGCTCTATTGAGGTGGATATCTCTCCGCTTCTAAAGCAAATTCAACCCACCCGACTCTCCGTGATTTCTCTGCAGATTGAAGTGCTATCGGAAGGTGGGAACACTGACTTAATCGCTACGACACAACTATGTTCGTCAGTATTCGAGAGGAAGTTACGTCCTTTGTTATACCTATCGTTCCAATTTCCGAATCTAATAAGTGGTTTAACGGCAACACAGAGCTCCACTGCGGTATCTGCACTAACCAACCAGCCTCTAGAAGCTTCACTAGCCACCAGCGGAGCCAAGTATGACGATTCAATTGGTAGCACCGTTCCTGTTTCTACCACTACAAACGAGAGCGATCCGTGGTGGGAAGTAACATTCCCTCAATTAACGAAGTTAGGAACATTGGCGATTTTCCTACCAGCTTCTGTTATCGAAGCTAATTCGGATGGATTCAACCTCGCGGTTATTGCCTCATTTAAGGCATTTAACTCGAAAGCTCTAACTCTAAATGACGCTCTAAATTACGGTTGCCCAAGTACTTGTCCTCACGTAGAACGATTACCGGTTCGGAAGGGGATTCTGCTCTGGGAGGTTCAGGCTGGTGCAGTTGCAATCAGAGTCTACCGCGAAGGAACTGGAATATTGCAATTATCGCAAGTCCAAGCGTTTGAATCGTTCATATCGGTCACATTAACAGCAGATGGAACAGGGATTCGGTCTCGACTGAAGTTTGATTGGAGTCCGAGTCCCGCATTGTTACAATCGTGGCACATTTTACAGACTGTAAGAAGATCGGAGAACGAAAATCTGGCAGTGAGGATGGCTACAAGACAGAGTAGCACGAATCCGAGGCATGCGTTGTCCTACTTGGCTGTCGACGGGTTAAGGTATACCAGTTGGGATCCTCTGATTATCCAGAGTGCAGATGAAAATACTATGGCGGCTGGCAGTACGAGAAGTGATGGGATGGATCCATGGTGGGAAGTAGATCTGGGGAGTATTAAACCTATTAGATCGATAGTACTCTATCCTTATGTGGGGAGTCTTTACGATGAACTCTGTGCTCCAGTATCAACTGAAAGTAACGGGTATCCGCAGTGGAGTGGCGATCTCTATGATTACAGTCATACAGATTTGTTACTACAATTAAAAGCTCCGTTTATTCAGCAATTCGATGTGCTTTTATCCGATCAACCTTTGACAAAAAGTGATGGTACGGCGTCTGGAGCCTCTGTTACAGCTAGTAAGACACTGTCCTTCTCGTGTATCAATTACACCAACTCAATTATGTGGGAAAATGTGTTCTCAACTGCTCGATTTGTGACTGTACGAAAGCGTGGACTCGGTGTTTTAATGCTAAATGAGGTGGAAGTTGTACGCTGGAATCCTGCGACGATGTCTCGTTATTTACTACTGGACTTGTTCGGGACAGGAGAGAAGCAACTAGCCGTTGCTAGCGTACAGATTTTCCCACCAAGCGATGTAGCTCCTACAGATTCAGAGACTCTCACAGTCCCGACTTCACTGACTTACAAAATCCACAGTATGAGCTCTCAACTCGCAGCTACGGGAGCTGGATCAGCTACTGCACTACTGGATGTTAAGGATAATACTGCGTGTTATGTGGCTAGTACAGCGTCATACCATGAGTGGATCGTTCTGGAGTTTGACAGACCCGTGGAGATTGGTCTTGTGGACGTTAATACGGATATTACACTGTGTTCTAGTGCTAATGTGGAGGCTGCGACAGAATTCTCCGTCGCATCTCACGGCTCCGTACTGGATAAGATCCGCAGTGAAGACGCTTCTCAAGCTTTGGATAATGAGGGTTCCTCTACTACTTGTGAGTTAAATGCAGCAGGTATCGTGATTTCTCCATCCCCACAGTGTACAAGTTACGTTTGTGCGGATATGGAATGTCAATCACCTCTGCGTGCTAGAAGTTCAGGTGGGAGCAGTTTAATTCTTAGTGATTTCGTCGATCTCGTGGTACTTGGAAAATCCGAGTTGTTACCAGTGGATCGGGTCCCGTTGTCAGTGAACGAGAACCGCGCTTTACTGTTACGTGACAATCCCGTAGTTATCTGGCCATTCGATGACGCTCCTAAAGTTCTTGTTAGGAATGATGAAGGCGAGTTATCATGGGGAGGGAAAAGTCGAGCTACAGGCGCGATTGAGTTAGAAACGTCGTCGTCATCAGTGGATTTAACGATCGACGATGACATGGAAGGCACGTTCTTCTCAACTGCAGTCGCGGTACAGCCGGCCATGAGCTCATTTTCTCTAGAATTCTGGTTTCATGTTACAGATAGTACCCCTGTTAGCGTTGTTACCATGTACGGTAAGGACGCAGATGCTGATCAAGTGAACATTGGGAGCGTTGGACTGAGTCCTAAATCCGGTAGATTCTACTTTGAAATGACCAATCCAGACGATAAAATGGTGTGCAGAGCCGATCTCGATGAGGCTTCGTTTATACTGCCCATTGCCGAGACCTGGCACCAAGTTGTAGCCATGTACGATCCAAGTTCATCCAGTATTTCTTTCTCCATTTGCGTCTCTGGTGGGCTACAAAGGGCCAATTGTTACACGAATACGACAATGTGTAGCATGGCTCTACTGAGTTTTAAACAAAAGAGTATTCGCCTCGGAGCTGGGGATTCTAACAGTGGATTTGTGGGAATGATTGCGAGTGCGTCTTGGTTCGTTCGAGCCCTGACGACTGCCGAAATTATGGATCACTATCACGACTTTCTCGATGGTGTATCGACTGAAGCCACTGCAGCTCACAACACTTATTCGATCCAGTTATCAGCTAAACCTTTGCAACCGGTAACGGTTAAGCTCAATGCCGAGAGTGCTTGCTACCGGTTTAACCTATGTAACATATCTGTTAACCCATCGATGTTGAAATTCTCGACGGAGAACTGGAATTTACCTCAACTTGTACACGTTCTCGCTACGGATGACCAGCTGTTCGAAGGTTTACACTACTCAGAAATTTTCCATGTATCATCGAGTCCACCACTTTATCAACTCACTTCGAAAGCTAATACGTTTAGTGTGAACGGAATTACGGGCGGAGAACAGCTGTCACAGAATCTTACGGAGTCTGTTACGGCGTTTTATCGTGATTTCGTTTTTTACGGGGTCTTCGATAATGTTAGTGAACAATTGTTACGTCAAGACGCTTTAGTGGATTTACACCGTAACTGGGCCAATCAAACTGTAAACGACGTCGTTGTGGCTGCCAACGCGTACGCTAAGAACGACTCAATCTCGTCCCTAACCGTAACGATTACAGATTTAACGGTACCGGGTATTGAGTTGTCCACTGCATCACTTAGTGTATCGGAGGATGGTAAAGGTAACGACTATCAAGTGGTGCTGCTTTCAGAGCCTACAGAAGAAGTTAGGGTGGCTCTTCATATTGCCTCAGGATGTTACCGTCGATGTGTTGGAAAGCCTTTGTGTCCTTCTCACTCAATTGAACTGGCAGATGGGAAATATGCAGTAACAGGAGACGATTCATTCTTAACTTGTGGTGATGATACCGAGAGCATGAGTACAAGTACACTACTGTGTAACATTACATTATCTCCGGATGTTTTGATCTTCTCTACGAGTGATTGGAGCTTACCAAAGACTGTGCGAGTCCTTGCAGTTGACGATCATCTGGACGAACAAGACGTGCATGTAACAATAATCCGGTCGACATCTGAAAGTCTAGATCCAATTTACAACGCTCTGGTGCTACCAGATATCGTCGTGGCCATTGCTGACAACGATAAGACGGAGATATCCTACTCCACCAAACTGGTTTCGTTATCTGAGAAAAATCTAACAATCTCCACGCTCAAATATCCACATGCAGACTACTACACGCTTCAACTACTTACAGAACCGTATGCGAATGTTACAATAGCAATGAGCAATGAAGCCAATAAGTCCTGCTATCGACGATGTGGATACCCATTCGACGAGGCTTCATGTGGCTTACCACGTCAACAGAGTGTCAGTCTTGTACAATTGCGCACGAATTCAACCCGCGAAATCCATCAAATCTCCTTAAAAATAGCCAAAATCACTGAAGTGCAGCGAATTGTGACCTATGCGAACCACGTGGATCAGATTTTCCAACTTTCGGTGTCCGGTGGATTCGGTTTGGAGATTCAAGCGATCGTTTTTGTATTCAACGACGCATTTAAAACCCGGTTTGCGTCTGTAGATGCTATAACAACAGCGACAAGTTATGGTACTACGTTTACTATCTCGAATGGAAATACTACCACGGCAGCTCTTGATTTGTTTTCAACTGCTCTACAAGTGCAAACAGCAATTAACGGATTATTTAGCGGAACAAACGCTGTAAGTGTGACGCGGGACGTGCAGTACATAGCGTCGAATATAACGTGGAGTGTCACGTTCCTTCGGTTTGTAAATTCGGATGGGACTTTCCCACTGTTATCTGTGGTAGTAAATGGGGCAATTCAAGGCGGAGTTACGTCTCAACGTGTAAGAGCGACTAGTTCTCCTAACGGTACTTTAAAACTGAGTTACGGTGCCGCTGTATTTCAAGTCCCGATCCTACCAACAGCTTCTGTTCTTCAAAATACCCTAAGCTCACAATCTGGAATTTATTCCGTTTCAGTTTCTAGAAGACTATCAAGTATTGGAGGCTACGGGTTCGAGTATATTGTGACTTTTATCAGTGTGGAAACCTTCTCTAACTTGGTCGTTAGTTCTACTGCCAACGCTGCGGCTTCCGTAAATGCTATGATCCAATTGGCGATTTCAGTTAATTTAACCCAGTCACCAGTACTAATCACTGGGTCTTTTGTGATTGAGTATTTCACCTCGCTTAACTTAACTACTACAAAACCCAACCGTACGGCTCCGATTTTCTGGAATGACTCAGCGGAAACCTTTGCATCCAAGCTCACGCAACTTCAGGGTATTGCAAATGTTACAGTATCTCGTCAGAAATTATCTGCAGAAGGAGGAATGGCGTGGACTGTCCAGTTTCTTGAAAATTACGGTAATTTACCCAGTATGATTGTAACTTCGCTGAACCTAACTGGAAAGGGAGTCACCGTTGGCGTGAATACTATTCGTGATGGAGAATCTTTACGAGGGAATTTTTCTGTTCAAATGGGAGGTTGGTTCAAGAAGACCGCCCCACGAACAAACCGGGCCTATATGATGAATATCCCGCTCAAAAATACCACATTACTACCGTATAATTCATCCGCGTGGAGATTTAAAAAAGCGCTTTTTGCACTCGATATCACGGAATTAACAAATGTTACACGTACCGGTATCGAGTGCGATATCTTCAACGTCTGTAACGGATACACGTGGACCATCACCTACCTAAATAGTCCTGGAAATGTTCCTCCGATTGCAGTTTTCCCGGACGAAATAATGCGTCAAGCGCCTGGTGTGACTCTAGCTTCCACTACAATTGCCAATGGTACATATTTGGGTGGAACCTTCACGTTGCGCCTGGAATTATTTGACCCAGACACCAATCGAACGTATATTGGTACCACATGGAGATTACCTGTTAACGTAAGTGCTATCGGCATGGATGAAGCATTGGAGGCTCTGTACTTTGTACGTTCGAACCGTGAGGCAGAATACGACCCCGAGACAAAAATATGGCGAGGAATTAAGTTCGATAAAGGTGTACGTGTGTATCGAGAAGGTCCTTATCTTGATGGAGGCCACACGTGGAGATTAGAGTGGGCTTTAGAGGACTATTTACGCTTTGCAGACTTGAAAATTACGACTGATGTGTCTCTCGTGACGCAGGAGATTGAGCCATTACCCGTTCCTTCAGAGCTCGATCTTCAGGGAAAACCTCGATGTTCAGCGATCCCCAGAGCGCAATTCCAGTCTGATACTACTGACCCATTGGGTCTTCGTGGTTTTTGCGTGTATGCTATCGCAAATGAGACAGCACAGGAGCGATTCCTCTGTAACTATACAGTGTTAAACCCATGGATCGTGTTCACTCCAGAGAACTGGTGTATTCCACAGCAAGTCAAACTGGAAGCAATGGACGATTATCTCGATGAATCTACCACGGAAAACGGTACTGTAACATTCTCGAAAGTGGCGCATACGGTCTTTAGTGACGACTACATTTACTTAACTCTACCATTATCTGATATAACGGTTAAAGTCGAGAGTGATGACGTTGCAAAGGTGCTTGTATCCGAATCTGCACTTAAAGTGAGCGAGGACGGGCTTCAAACAGCTCAATACTATTTGCAGCTCAACACGGAGCCTCTGACTGATGTGAAGGTTGTCGTTCTACCCTGGCTTGACGCTACCAACACACAGTGTTACAGATTCGGACTGTGTAACATTACTCTTCCAGTAAGCGAGTTCGTATTCACCCCTCGCAACTGGAATATCCAGCAAAAAGTGGCAGTGCTTGCTACTGATGACAATTTGGACGAATACGACACACATATGACTGGTATTTCCCACATTTCGTACAGTGATGACCCAAAGTATAACGAGATTTCAACAATTCCTAAGATCGACGTGACGGTAGTCGACAACGACGTGTCAGGGTTTACTGTGAACAAGACCAGTGTATTTGTTACGGAAGGGCTTCTTGGAGCTGTAGATACCTACACAGTCGTGTTAACTTCCGAGCCATTCGCAAAAGTTACGGTTTCTGTTGTAAATGTTGGAACTGTGGGGAATTTCGCTGTCCCTAGCCCTACAAAACTCGTTTTTACTTGGCGAAACTGGAATATTCCGCAGACTGTGAATGTCTCGGCGTTCGACGATCGTACGCAGGATGTTGTTGGGTCTTCCAGTTTACTTAACCACTCGTTAACAACAAACGACATTATTTACGCTGGACTGAAGAACCTGGCGTCAGTTAAGGTGTTCATAACTGATAATGATAAATCGGGGATCGAGTTATCAACAAGAGAACTGCGCGGCGCAGAGAGTAACAATAGTGTGCTCAATTACAGCATCCGACTCACTTCAGAGCCCTGGGCACCTGTTGTTGTTCAACCAAATGCCAGTCATGACTGTTATTTACGTGTTCAAAGCTCCGAACGTGTTTGTAACGCCAGTCTGTTAACAACCGCGTTAACCTTTGGAGCGAATAACTGGAGCGTGTCGCAAAATGTTTCTCTCATTGCGGTAGACGACTGGCTTGACGAGGCAATTATCCACACTGCTCGAATTTCACACTTGTCATTAAGTTCCGACCCTCTGTACAGTGTTAGTTACACAACAAGCGACGATGTCAAGCTGTTCATAACCGACAATGATGTTTCTTTCGTGAATATCACGATTCAAAGCGCAACTAACCAACTTCACGTTGCAGAAGGAAGTTTTAACGACTCGTACAGTATTTTCCTCAACTCGGAGCCGTATGAATACGTGACTGTAACATTACGTCCTGCAGTTGAGAAGATCGTTAGTCTGGACTCCAAGAGTGCTTTAACTCAGCCTCAAGTTGGAATTTCGTTCGGTTCTTCTTCTTCATCTGGTATGACTTTGCTGGGCACTGAGAGTATTCGTAGTATTCCGTTAGTTTTTACTCCTTTGGACTGGTCACGACCGAGAATTGTGACAGTATTTGCTATCGACGACACAATCTCTGAAGCTGCTACTCAGTACTCGACAGTTCTTCACTCAGTTTTAAGTGCAGATGCCGGATATAACATCTCGAATAGCTCTATTGGTATCGTCAGTGTATCGGTTATGATTAACGACAGGGAAGCGATACCTCCGCCTCTACCGTTAACTGCTATGTTCGACAGTTCTGGCTCAAAGATCAACGTCGCGTTCGACTCGACAGTGTATCATGCTGCTTCAATGGACGTTAGCTCCTCTGGATCATACGTGATTCGACTCAAGACTTTTGCTTGCAGTCTCGTATTTAACTTCGCTGCTGTTAAGTACACTCTCGGCTCGCAGGCGCGATGTTTATGGGTCGACATGAAGAACTTACGTATCGAATTGAGTGCTGGTGCGACCATAGCTGCCAATGATAAGTTGGTTCTTAACGACTGCAGTTCGTTTGCGGATCAATATTGTAACGCCACGGATGTTCTTCGAGCAGGAGCGTCAAGTCGAGCGTTCTCTCAAGCGAGTGTTATTCTTCAGGTTTCGACTAATATCGTTCAACCCAGTCCAGTACTCCTAGTACCTGAGAACGCTGGTAGTTGTGGCACGTGGTCTATTGATGCCTCTCTTTCGAGTGGAGCTGGTGGTCGGTCATTCATTCAGTTGATTTGGTTCGCTCTTCCAGTGTCAATGTACTCATATTCGGTTGATAAATCTAGCGCCGAAGCGGGTTTAGCACTGTACCGGAGACTAGATTTGGGTCTAAATCTACTCTGTCAGAAGTACAGAACTGACTGGACTACCGGCGTGTCGAGTATCTCGGTGGTTCCTGCTTCAGATATCGCACTAGCTAGGGCCGCTAACAGCAACGCTACGTCGGATTTCTCGATGCTTTCCAACATGACGCAGCTTCGATCAGCGTGTTACCTTCGATCTATCACGCAAAACGCCACTGCATCAAGCGCGTTAATTGTTCAAGTGAACGCATCTCTATTAGAACCAGGTGCAATGTATCGCGTTGGTTTGAAACTTATGAACGCCTTCGGTCAGTCTACAACCGTCTCTAAATCTGTCAACCTCCAGAGTTTACCAGGTCCAGCCGTGTTTATCGTGGGCGAATCTACCCAAACTGTAACGAGAGTTGGTGCTCCTGTGGTGTTGCAAGTCGATTCTACCGTTAGCTGCCCTACATTATCGAGTTCGGATGTCGTTTATCGGTGGACAGTAACCAGTAAAAGAAGCGATGGTGCAGTAACCACAGAAGACTTCAGTAAGGACAACTCCGCTCGAGACCCACGTGTCTTCCGTTTACCACGCACTTCTCTACAAGCTGGTCTAACTTACACGTTCCGAGCCGAGGCGTATATTAAGGGAGCGTCAGCTACTCGAGCGTCAAGCAGCTTCGCGTCTATCGCGGTCACTGTCTCCAGTAGCTTACCTCAAGTCGTCATCAAAGGTGGTGACTGTGCTCTTGGAGAGCGAGACACTTTAGTGCTCGACGGCTCGACTACCACTGATCCAGATTCTTCCAGCACTCCGTTCACGTATAACTGGACTTGTCAAGATGTGACGAATTCCTCCTCTGTAGGCTCCTGTATGAACGCGTCGACTACACCTTCGGTTCCTTTGGTTTTAGCCTCGACCAAGTCTGTGTTGCGAATCGCACCGCTAAATCTCGTATCAAACCGCCAGCTCAAGTTTTCGTTAACTGCGTCCAAAGGTACTCGAAGCGCAACAGCGTATAGTACAATTTGGACTGTACCAGGTCGACTACCTCTCGTCCTTGTTACTGCTTCAGCCACGAAGATAAATCCTTCGAGTCGAGTGACACTTACCGGTTCAGTGAACTCGGACTATCCGTACATCACGAGATGGACTCAAACACTCGGAGACCTCGAACTTCCTACTACAGATGTAAGCAACATGTTCACGCTGCCGCTAACAAGCACCAATAACGCTATTCGGAGCTTCAAATTAGTTGCAGGACTCACGTACAATTTTCGTCTTGTAGCGACGGATACAGTAGGAAGTGTGGGCTTTGGATCCATCTCGGTGGTCGTCAACTCACCGCCTGCTTCTGGTACTTTCGTTGTAAGTCCTCAATCCGGTTACGCTATGGAGGATACGTTTACATTCACGTGTTCATTATGGAGTGACGACGCGGAGGACTACCCCCTCACATACTCATTTGGTGTACTCTCCACGGCGGATTTTGAGGTGATTCAGGAGAATTCGACAGATTCTAACAACTTGGTGGCTCAATTACGAAAATCCATGACGCCTTTAGTGGTGAACCAACTCACACCTTTAGCAACAGCACAAATGTTCCCTCCTGCGGACATGGCGGACAGTGAGAGTGTGACGGTCTTGGCGTTCATTAGCGATCGTCTCGGTGCTGTTGCACTCGCTTACGATACTATTGAGGTGTTGTTACCTGAAGCAGCAAAGTCGTCGCCTGTAGTGTATGTTTCCGACATGTTTGACGCTAACGGAACCTTAAAATCCAGTGTTAGTGCATCGGAGGATGTACGTCAAGTCTTAGCTGGTGCTTTAATGATGGAGAAGGCTTTTGGTTCGTCAACTTCTCGTCGTCTTGCCAGTTGTCCCGAGGGATTCATGGGGGGCGATTGTGGTACGCAGATTGCTGTCGTGCAGAGAGTAAATGCTGCTATCTTAGCGACGGTGGCAAATGCAGTGAGTTCTGTAGAGGCCAGTAATTCGGGTCTTAGTCAACAAGCTCGAGTGCTTGGATCTGTTCTGCGAGGAGCACCACAAGTGTTGACAGCAGCGGATATTGGGCTTGTAACTAAGCTCTGCAGTGGCATTGCAGGCAGTGCTCTAACGCTAGATGTTCCAGATGAGTTTCTAGATTCGGCAAGTGATACATTGCTAGACGTGATTTCAATGCTCCTAGAACTTGAGAGTTCTACCACTGAGTTGAACTCCCGTCGACTTGTTGAGTCGAACTCGGGCAATTCTACGTGTGCTGACACTACCAATGTCATTAACTGGGATAATATGGTGCGCACGTTTCAATCTCTCGCAGCTTTAAGTAGCAACGAGTTGCTGGCTGACGAACCTCCTGCTGTGCTTGAGGTTAGCGACGTACGCACATATTCGGCTAAAGGCTCGAGCTTCAGTGACCAAGTGTCGATGGCTCTCACCTCCACGGCAGTGGCATGTCTGAACTCGGATCTGTACTTGAATGCGGTGTCACTCACAAAGAGTCCACATTCCGTCTGCAGTCTCAACGACTCGGAGCCCATTTCTAGACTAACGCTGTTCTCCGTACACTCAGAGGCTGCAGTGGATAAGGCTGCTAAGGTGGCGACGTACGCGTCCGATACTGGAGTTGAAACGCAGAGCTTATCCAGTACAAGCGTTTGTGTTAAAGCCGCTTCCGAGTCAACGCGTCGTCTAGAATCCGATGCTACCGAGGCGGAGCAATGGATGCCACTGGTAGCTCTTACAATACCTCACGAACGTGAACTATCCGCTATTGAACAACGCAATTTCTCCACATCTTGTCGTACTTGGAGCGATGAGACGTCGAGTTGGTCTATGGGCGTGTGTTTCAAGGATGACAGCGCCAGTACCAGCGAGTTTACAGTGTGTTACTGCACTGATATCGAGTCGTCTCTCGAAGTTTTGGTGACGTTAGAGGAACGCTTGGACTTTTACGCTTTACATCCAGATCTGTACCGCAACGACGAGCCTTCTCTTGTCGTGAGCGTCACTCTGGCTGTGCTTGTTGGGGTCTTTGTGATGGTAGCAAAAGTTGGTCAACGACTCGATATTCGAGATGTTAAACGGGAGAAGCAAACGACAATCAAGAGACTGAATCGCTCCAAGTGGAGTGAACTGGAAGCGCGGATGCAGGTTAATAATGTGTTCGAGGACTTTGACGCTTACTACGCCACCCAGAAGCAGAAAATATTGGACGCTCGTCCTTCCGAGGACTCAATAGCAGCGACGGATGTCGGGGAGTCTTCAGCGTTGTTCGCGTCCACGGTGCGTGGAGTTCACGTGAATGGTATAGCAACGGAGCCTCCCAATGAACCACTAGATATAAATGTTCAGCTACCGAATGAAGCACGTACACTGTTCGGGTCGTCCGACCTCGTGGATAGACAGTATCGACGCGTAACGTTTCTCTTCCGAGTGAGCAATGTACTGCTAGGTATCATGGGAATTGTGCTGTTTATTGCTGGAATCGAAGTGCAGTTTGTGCTGGGACGAACGCCTGCTGAACTTGTGTTGTACTTGTACGGCGGGCCGCTAGGATTCACGCTAATGGTCGGCGGTGCAGTGTTGATCGCGTCGGGGGTCATGGGTGTTCTACTTGCACGACGCGAAGCTTCAAACGCCACTCGAACGGCGTACTTGACAGCCTTAGTTATCGGTTTACTGACTCAACTCCTGGTTGTGATGTTCGTGTTCCACTTGCTCGAGAACTTTGACGCCATGCCGCACGGTATTGCACTTGCACTGCGTTCAAAATGGGACGCGTTGTCTGTAAATGCCAAGACTCAACTCCAAGTATCCTATGCGTGTTGTGGGTTTCTATCCATTAGCGAGGAAGAGTCTTGTCCAGAGGAAGCGCTAGATGCTGTACCTCCTCGAACGTGTTCAGTGATCCTTGGAGTCCAGGCATCAACTTTATTTGCCAGCTCGTTCAAGTACGTGGAGATCGTATTGTTCGTGGAGATTGCGTGTGTCGCTCTAGCGAACTTCCTCATTCGGTGGCGTCGGATTCGACTGGTGCAGCTTGCGAGTAGCTCTGGTAATAGTGCAGAGACGACGATCGTTCGCTCAACGGTATCAGTAGTGCTTTTGTGCTTCTTGCCACCGCTGTACGCGTTATTGGCTTGCATTACCCTGGGTGGAGTACTATTTGGCGTTGATTTGATGGTACATTGGGGAGTAATGGCGGATCCACAAGTGTCTGCGTTGTTTGGTGTAGAAACCGGAGCTTTTATCACTGCGGGATCTGTTGTGCATCTGCTTATCACGCTGTGGGCATTACGGGCACTGGGAAGACGTGATGTACGAGCACTTCGCTGGGTTCTCGGCTTCTCACTGGTGTTTATACTGCTCACGTTAGCAGTACGCGCGTACATCGGACGACTTCATACAGATTTCTACTTGGACCCGTCGATCAGTGAAGCGATTAAGACGAAGTATGTGAGATTGCCGCATACAACGTTGTTGAATTTGGAGATGGACTTGGAATGTTGCGGCTTTAGTACTAGTTCACAAGGAACCTGCGTCGAAGGAGCGTCCGATACGGACATTCCTACTTGTCAAGAACAAGTGGAGAGTGCTTTGACACGAGCGTTAGCTCTAGCAACGGATCGTCTAGCAGGTTTTGCTGTGGCTCAGGTGGTCGTACTCGTTCTCTTGGGTTGGATATGTTTTCGACTGCGACGATACTCTACTGTGTCTGCCATTCGATCTACGCCAGTAGAGACTGACGCTTGTGAGCCACCGACGTTTATTCAAAAGTTGTGTGTTAGTGGACTCTTGGTACTGAATGTGGGAGCTGCAGCGGCTGGCATTGGCATCTTGTGTCTAGGCATTGACGTTCTCTTCGAGCTCAACGTCTTGCAAATGTCATACTTGTTGCGTGTGTTTGATCGCCGTCTTGGTGTATATTTGCTTATCTTTGGAGGTTTGATGGCGTTATTTGCTTTGCTTGGTGGTGTTGTAGCGTGGATTGGAAGTCAAGGAACTTACAAACAACCGAGAATGAGAACGGCTAGAAAATATCTGGTGATATGCTACTCATTCGCGTGTGGCGTGCTTTTCGTCGCTGCATTCATATTTGCTGGTGTGGGACACAAGCTTTCGTCCCAGTATACACCGGCGACTGATGATACAGTCAAAGCTGAAGCGATCGATACGCGGGTGAAAGATCTCTGGAGCTCTGCCCCTTCAACTACGAAGATGTTCGTGCAGAACACACTTCAATGCTGTGGTTATGAGCGTATTGAAGCTGCTAATGGTTCAGTGACATATACACTGCCAGTCGAACAATACGGATGGCGGCGGGTATCCTCCACGTCCGCTTATCAAGTGTACAGCTCGCGGAATGCGTTAAACACCCGGAAGACCCGCGTACTGACTGACACCAAGGCAGAGCCGACACGTTTGAACAGCACGCAATGCCCTACTGATGATTCCGATGGATGTGCTACGTCGATGAAGCAGTACGTCTCTCGTGTGGCTCGAATCGCCTGGCAATTATGCACTGGACAGGCTGGCTTTAGTGTTGCTGCTCTGCTGTGTACCAGCGGGTTGTACGACACCGATAAACGTGGAAGAAGGTGGCACCCAGACTGGAGACTTCGCGTTAAGCGGGTGGCATTGATGCTGCTTGTTATAGTGGGAACTTTAGCAGCGTTAGCATGCTTCATCCTCGGCTTAGATGTGGCTATCGGGTGGACGCTTTTCAGCTCGAGTGCCTTCCAAATGGTGTTCGCTCGACCCATGGGTGTGTCGTTGATGACGTATGGAGTGCTTGCTGTACTCACTCATGCGTATTCGACTCGAGCAGCTCGTCACTTCAGCGTTCATCAACTGTTCTTGCAGTGTATAGCTCGACTCGTACACGCATCAGCACTATTTGCAGCTGTAGGACTCACAGCTCACCTTTCACATTACTCGTCACTGTCAGACGAAGGCTGGCATTCACAGCTCGAAGATTTCCTGGATGATCAATGGAGTCTCTTGACACCGTCGACGCAGAATACAATAGCGCTGGAGTTCTCGTGCTGTGGTTTCAACGACCCCCTTCTTGTAGCTGGTCAAGGCGTCGTATTCGATCGACCAGCACTCGGCTATTCGAGCTGCTCACTGTCAATCTCGCGTGGATGTAAGAACCCCCTTATGACGGGAGTTGAGTCCTCGTTTGCCTGGTTGTTTGCGTTCCTGCTAGCGTTAGCGATACTGGAAATCGTGTGTATGGTGTTGGGTGGTCTCATACTCCGTGACGTCCGGAACTTCGAAGCAGAAGCCTGGTTCGTTCTCGAGAGTAGACTACGGTACGTGGCAGGCAGTTTCCGGCGCGATTTCCGTCGACGGCATGTTCTGGTTTCAATTTGTGCAAGGTTCGATCCTCGCCTTACTCGAACACAGCGTGCAGTGAGTGTGCTTTGTGCGTGGGCGGCATCGCTTGCAGTGTATGCGGGTTACTTTGCCACAAAAGGTTGCTATCGGACGTCACTGATGTCGTGTGAACAGCCTGGTATAGGAGAGTTAATTGGTCTCGGTCTTGTATACGGTGGAGCCGTCGGATTGGTAGTGCAGACGTGCGCCATCGCGTTGTTTGAACACGTTCGGCATCGTGCTGATGACGAGACGAAGGAGGTTGCCACTGCTCGGCAACGAAAAGAGAAGGTTCTGTTGTTCCGTAGGCCTTGGTTCCGCCGCCGACGTCCAGACGATCAAAACTCCACAGCTTTGGAGCAATCTAATGACGCGTCTACGCTCGAGGGAACGCAGACTACGACCGAGGAGCGCTGGTTTGTATGGCTCACCCGCTTTGTGGCATTGGTATTCCAGACTTGCAGCGTGATCTTGTTCCTTGGAGGCTGTGCACTCGCAACACTACTTGGCCTGCTTCGTCTGGGTTACAATAATTCTCTCTATGGAGTCTCGCTTGACGAAGATGTTTTCGAACTGCTTGCGGTCGCTGGAGCACTTATCGTCGTCGCATTGATCGCCGCACTAGCAAATGACCTCCGTGATCAACATTTAAAGCGATCGAATCGTCGAAAAGCGACCCCAGTTATTGTGATGCTGGTAATAGTGGCCATCGTTGCTGTGCTGGCGATAGGAGCGGTTCTCTTGGTTGTGTTCATGATTCACGAGGTGGTTCAAGACGATGCCAGTGCGTTGAATAGCTGGAGTGTACGGACTACAGGCTTCAGTGTCGTTGAACGTCTTGAAACAGCGTGGAAAGAAAAGCTGACGGGTTATGCCAAGGCCTCTGTTCAGCTGGAGCTGCGTTGCTGCGGGTTTTGGAGCGCTACCGACGCGCCGTTCTTGCCGTGTCCTGAGGGGGATTCCGTTGAAGTCACATATGAAGCATTAAGTGTTGGCGGCACGATCGTGACTGAAATAAAGCAGGAATTTACGGCGTTGCCGGGGTGTCGAGCTGGGATGCTTGCTCGTTTCCATAGTGGAGCGGATGTGGCGACGTACTGCGCGCTCACCGCAGCAGGACTGTTGATCCTGATGATGGTCACCTCGCTCTTCCTAGCTCGTGAGTTAGCCATCTCTAAAGACGCCAAACTTAAGCTACGAGTACCAGACTCTGGAGCTACCGAGGACGAGGTCAAGCGAGACGCGAGAGAGACGTTTGAGACTGTTGTCGGACTCAAAATCGCAGCTCCTGCTCGTGGTAAGCTGCGCTCACAAATGTTGGCTACCAGTCTGGATAGTGTATCTCCCTCGGTGGCTAGTGAGTTGGCAGCGGTGCCACTCAAGCACGATCAGATAATGGTCTCCAGTACTTCAGCAGACCAAGAGCACCGTGAAGACAGCATCGTAGCGAAGGTTGAGCCTAGTGCTGATGGTAGTGACGACACTTCCAACGTTCCGTATCCGGCATGGATTGTGTACGTGGTATTCGCGATTTGTTTGGTGTGGTTAGTGATCATGGTGTATTTGGTAGCGGTCAGCGCGATGGAGCTTGGGTTAGCTACGTCTTGGCGCTGTGTTCTTGCTTGGGCGGTGGGTGTAGCTATCCAGGAGTTGGTAGTGGAGCCTATTGTGATACTTATGTCCATCATTGCTCGTACGCTACGTGACTGGTGGTCTCGTACGTGTGTTGCGAGGATCATCCGGCGTGGACGTGCCTTCCTGCGTATTGGACCACAGGACGTGGAAGCGTTGGAGCGTGAACAACTGGATAGGTCTCTTACGCTGTACGATCACCTTCGTTATGCTGCTGCTGTTCGAATCCAGCGTCGTTTGCTCACCCGAGTCACGCGTGCACGATACCTGTGCCAACTTAGAGCTCACAAACAGGAGCAACACCGATTACTGGCCATCCAGAGACGCGATACACTGCGCAAGACGATAAACAACTTCAGCGAAGAAGAGATCGAAGCCTTCAGGGTGTTGTTCGCGTCGGCGGATCCAGCTCAGCTTGGCTTGGTCTCCCACACAACCATCGCACAGGCCGTGTACGAGCTTGGTGTCCATGTACCGGCACCAAAAGTTCGTGAGCTGCTTGAAGCGTTCGATCCGGCGTACGCAGACCTCGTAGACTTTGAGCATTTCCTGTATGGTATGCACTGCGTCCGCTTGTATCACCAACAGCTCCAGATTCAAACCACTGAGGCAACTGATCAGTCAACAGCGAGAGCCAAAGATGAGACCTTGGTGAGCTCGTCCGATCGATTCGGGCCTCGTACTGATCCCCGAGCGGAGCTATTGGTGAAGCGCCAAAATCTGCTTCGAGAACTGCGAGATCGTCGCGAATCGCTCGCACACAAACTGATGCGTAAAGTAAGTGGGAAGCTGCCTGCATTGGCGCAACGTGGTAAGAGTGTAAGAACCGCGTCGATCGAGGAGGGGAATGAAGAGTTGGGTGAAGAAGCTGTAGCGACTGATAGCTCCGCACCCCCAACTGGCACCTACGTGTTCTGGCAGAACAGGAAGTTGTCCCCAAAGAAACGTGCTCTCGAGTCGGTCTTGAAGAAGAAACACCAGGAGCGAATACGTCAGCGCGAAACCGGTAGCGGTGACGTCCACACGACTGCGAGAGCTGCTGTGGAGGTTGATGTGTCGGCTCGACCGAAGACGTCGGCGTCATCAACAAAACAAGCACTCAAGAGCTTGGCCAGTAAAAAGACTGCTGCGCCCCGAGGAAGCTCAGCTGAAACTAAATCGGAGACGGCTGTGGCATCATCGCTGCCAGACATTGAAACACCGACACCATCAATCAACGAGGAGGGCACAGCGAAGCAGGATGCTGAGTCTGTCGACGAGCAGCAAGACGGGGAAAAGGTGGCTCCAGTTGACCTAGAGCTAAGTAATACCGGCGATGAGAGCCGAGCAGCAACTGCGGTGCCCGGCTCGGCTGAGTCTAAGCCGACTGAATTTGTCAAGCAGGATGAGGAAGCCAAGCCTTTCGGCGCCTACATGTTGCTTACCAAGCCGCCGCCACTCCGCCCTCAGACGCTGACGACAAGCGATACTGATGAGGCAGGTGCTGATACTGAAGCTATCCCCGTAGCAGCGGAGAAACCGAAGACCGGCGCCCAGAGCGCGCTGGAGAAGGCGCTACTCAAGAAGCAGAAAGCCAAGTCAAAGCCCAAGTTGTAGACGTTGAAGTTGCTGACTCACCCAATAACGGGCACCAATTTCTCATTTTTCAGAAATGCATACAAATCTTGTGTCCTTCAAAATCCCAAATTTCCTAATCAGCTGAGCACAATGATCATCACTCTTGCCGTCAATTCCGCACTCGATGCGCCGCGATGGAGTCCGCCCCAGTGGACGACGGCCTCGTGTTCCTGCCGCGCGCGTCCTCGGCCCTGGAGCTACTGTGTGTAGCCCTCTACCTGTCGCTGGCGCTCGTGGCCGCCTGCCGTGCGCTGTCGCAGGGCTCGACGTTCCATCGCAGCCAACGCAGCACCTTCCAGCGACTCATGGTGTTGTTCGCCGTCACCCGCGCCGCGTCCTTCTTGGGCGAAGGTTTAGCCCGTAACCTGCTCAACCGAGCGGCACTGTGTCTGTTTTTCAGTCTCGTGCTGTTCCAGACGCTGCTATGGATCGATATCGCCAACCCGAAAGTCTCGACGCGATCGAGACGCATCTGGATCGCCTTCGTAGTGGCCAACGGACTGTTCTACGCCGCCGTTCTGGGCCTCTCGGTACTGCATGAGGCCAAAGTAGCCCAAGCCCAGCATGCCAAGGCCAGACTGAACCGATCCACGCTTTGGACGGGCGTGCTGCCTGTGCTCTTCATCGCCACAGGCAGCTTTGTCAGCTCGCTGGGACTCGTGTACTCAACATTGAAGATGCGGCGTCGAGTGGAGAGAGTACTAAAGCCTTCGAGGGCAGGTTTAAGACGTAGGCTGGATGAACGCGTGGAAAAGAAACTCACGAGGGCGTTGAGGTTCACGAGCTTCGTCATGGGGGCGTGTTCGGTCTTGTTTTTTCTGCGGACAATCATCTACGTCCAGAGACCATTCTCGCATCAAGGATGTGGAGATATTCACAGTCCTGACGTGTGTGTTGTGGTGGGCTACGCGATCCCGGAGATCGTGCCATGTGTGTTGTTTCTAGTGCTTATGTGGGAGGTGGAGCCGACGCTGGAGATCCCGTCGAGACGTAGTTTGAGCTATACTAATGGACGGGTGACGTCAGAGTCAACGCCATTGCTGGACAACGACGTGATGCCTCGACCGCTTTTGGTGGCGGCTAAGAAGCTCACGGACGGAATCGGCGTGGCGCCAAATCAGGCGACGACGCAGCCGAATTCACCGCCTGGCTCACAAAGTGGATATTTTACGGTTGGCCGTCGACCGAGTCCGCTGTCATTAGGTCTCGGAAATGGAGTGCTGAGTCGTGCTAGACGCCGATTAGAGCTTGTGGTCCGACAGCATTTGGGTGGAACTAGCAGAGAGCAGCAGGCGCTGGGCGGGATGTCTAGCCTCGATTCTGCAAGTAGCCTGGACTCACCGTCGGGATTGTTTGAATACGAGCGACAGGCAAAGCAGGTAGCTATGGCAGATGGCTCATGGAATGATCCGAGGTGGCCAACGCAGTCTGCTTCATCGACACCGTGCGCATGGTTTTCATTTCAGTGTTTCAACCTGACACTACCGTCCAAGTCATCGGTGAGGGCATCATCGTTCGTGGTGCTTCATCTGATGAATGTCGAGACAGGTGCGGTGCTGGCGGAGATTGGCCGAACGGAGATTTCACATTCCGAAGACCCGTGCTTTCACATGATGGTGGCTGTCGAAATGCGCGAGCAAGATCTGCTTCGCGCTTCGGTATACTCGGTTCGAAACCCGAACTCACTAGCGAACTTGGATAGCCAGTGGCTCGTTGGAGACCCACTTGTTCCGCTTTCGTCGTTCATGCTGGGCTCAGTGCCCGCTATCGGACGGGCAGCTATTTTCTCGCTGTATTCTCCTCTATCTCGAACGCGATCTTCTGGTGAAATTGTTATCCGATGTGAAGCAGAGGTGAAGGGCCTGCATGCTGGAATGTCTGTTGATGGGCTTGAGCGCATCACTCGGTCGTTCATGTATATTGGAATTAAAAGTACCGACGCAGAGGATCACGATGACTCGGCATATTCTGAGATAGCCCAGCAGATGATAAGTCTTGCGTCTACCTCTCAACGCACGCAGGGCAAAGTGCTGGTCGAAGAAGAGCTGATCGAAAGTGTGTATACGTGGGAAGTACCTTATCAACTGCTTCAGCTGATCCTATCTGACTTGCTGATGAAGCTTGATTCGCTGAAACGTGAGATCGCGCACGAGGACGGCAACGAAAGCTCTTCATCGACTCCCTCCAGTCAACTCTCAACTCCTAGTGTTGGTGGCTATTCGATGCCTTCGGTGATTACTACTCCAAGAGCCCTCGGTACTGTGCAAGAACATGAAACTGGTCTGGCAATACAGTCGTCAGAAGACGCTGGATCGTTGACATCGGCCACTTCGGGATTGAGTTCTTCATTTACGCTAGAGAATCGGACTAGACCAGCAACTAGCATTGGGATGCTATCGGAGATGATTATTCAGATTCAAGATGATGCAATCGAGCGGAAAAAGCGGAAGTGGCGTCTGGATCTCGTGAAGACAATGGAGCAGTATATCTCGGAGGTGGAGGACTCTATCTTGCGATACGGAGCCACCCAACATGCAGGACTCACTTTCAAGCCGAGTACCATGAAAGCAGACGCAGACCTTCGTTTCCTGGCGCTAAATCTGCATCAGCAATTGATGACGGTAGGCAATGCAGCTCCTACGTCTGAAAAAGATGTGCAATACGGCGACCAAACAAGCCAAGCGCGCTACGCTCGTCTCGTGAACTCGTTCGTGGGGACTCTTCTGTCGTCGCCCCTGCATTTATCGAGGAAATCCAGTATGCGTGATCAACAGACTGACCTTGATTCCATGCAGTTTATCGGTGATGACATCATTGATGAGAAAGAGGCTGTATCGCCTGCGCCGCCGGACGAATCACCTCTTGAACCCGTTGAGGCACTTCGCCGGCGTGTGATTTCTTTCGATTCTGCGGAAACGATCGTTAACAAGAGAGCAGCAGGCCAGGATTTATCTGTCCCTTCTGAACAGCGAAAGCTGGCAGAAACCATTGTTGCGATGGGAATCACTGAAGAAGAATTTCAGAGGATCTACGGACTTGATGAAAATGTCGATGCTTCAGATCCAATCGATATCGTTGCCAACATAACCTTGAACGAGTCGGAGTGTGAGGAAGTGAAACGTGCTGTGCCAAGCAGTTGGGGTGGCTCGTCGTACCAAGGCTCGATGTCTAGTGCAGAACCGAAGAAAGTGTCGATGACGATTGATACGAATGCTAGAAGTCGTCCACCCTTTTACAGACACAGGATGTACGGCACAACAACTGTTGGTGCCTTTGCGGCTCACGTGTATGGGTTTAAGAGCGGTGGTGTGCGTCAGATGCGTGCAGAGTTGGAGAAACTTCACACACGTTTGGTCAAAGAAGCACAAGCCAGCTCAGATCTCACAATGGATGCATTGGAACGCAAGTATAACGAACTTAAGTGGGATGTGGAGCGCCGACTTGAGGTAGCTTTCTGCCAGGCGATGAGTGCTCTAGTGACGTGTTTTCAGCAAACGCTTTATGTGCATACGCATGATCATCGGGATTTTGGTCCTCATCCGCTGAAAGCTTGTGGTATCGACTACCTGGAAATGCTCACGAGAGTTGGCTTCCTGTTCTCTGTTGAGAGCTTGTTGTCAACGTATGGCAACGAGTTAGGAATGCTAGGCGACACAGAGGCAGCCGTCAAGGAGCTTGGACGAGTTCACATCAAGTTACGACCTGTGAAGTCGCCACGCGCTGCTGCTTTTCGTGTCTCCATCACTTCCGGGCCGTCAGGGATCGTAATCGAGCTCCCTATCATTACTCGTCGCGCGAGTGAGTTTCCAGATCGTAGTATGCATCGCGTTCCGGGCCAAGATGCAGTGTCGGGGGCCATCTACTTGTCCTTGTCAACTCCCGAGCAGAAGATGCGCGCGAAGTTTTTGTTCCAGAAGCCTATTCGAGTGATCCCTGTAATCTTTTCTCAGGGACTGAATGAAATGCAGACGGTTGCCAACACCGTGGGTAAGGCCTCTCTACAGAAAGAGATCAACGCTGAGAACGTGGTCGAGCTGGAGTCGTATGTCAAGAATTTTTCCGAATGGGTGACTAAGAAGCAGTGCCGAGAGACATCGCTTCCAATCTTCGACCCTGAGGATCTCGATCGGATTCAGACGTCTCTGATGGCTCTCAAGCTGAGTATCCAGCTTTCCGGACGGTCTAAACGCATGGCCATTCTCAGTCTGTCGTCATCCATAGCTCGTTCTGTTGGTGGCGGTCGAGTGACAATGTGCAAATCAGCAAAGGACCGGACGTCCATGTCGATCACTCTTGAAGAAGCTAACTTGCTCGTGCGCTCGCATGGGCTTCTCGCTGATGACATGGAAGCCTTTACGAATCTATTCCGAACATACGGCGTCCGTCGCGAAAATGCGCGGAAAAACATTGGCAAAGCACAATATTGCTTCAGCGCACTGCAAAATTACATGCTACCACCGGATTATCAATGCCCACCTGGCACAGGTGGCGGCAGTCGTGCGTATTCGTAGAACAATACGGCGGGGGAAGTGTGGCATCAATTCGGTGCTGGGGTGGACTGTAATTTATGTTTCGATTCTTTCGTTTGACTAGACTAAAACGCTACAGACGAGTACTACAGAGGATACTGGAGTGGTATCAAGTGTTCAGTGGCGCGTCAGGATGTCCCGCATCGACATGGTGCGAGGGTGAGTGGGTGGGCCCTCCTGGGTGACAGGCATTGACTGTGTGTCGTTTTTGAAGCTGGTTAGGATGGAGGCGTCGACGAGTAGGTTCAGCGATGGAATGGTTGACGTCGGCGATCTGGTAGTCTGCGTGCAGATCCGTGGGGCTGTCCAGGAGTTACTTTTAAGACACGGGTTCACGCTTGAGAAGGCGACACTAGTCTCCTTGCTTGGACTGACACGGTTGAGGTCGAGGTTGAAGCCGTGAATCGTATGCGGTGGGGTCAATAGTGGTGCTGCTGGAGTGTAGGGAGCAGAGAAAGACGCCGTGGGCTGCGCCATAGGGGCGTTTGCCATGAAATCACTCTCATCGGGCTCGGACATGCGCTCGTCATCATCAGAAATGGTCGTCGTGGCGTTGGAGAGTGTTGGGGACGAGCACCAAGAGCTCGTGCGCACAGTAGACATCTTGGATGACACTGCTCCTTCCAGTGATGGTAGACACAGCTGCGGCATCTTCACTTGCAGTAGACGCTTAGCGCTCGCACCTCGAAGACTGGGCGCGTTGGGATGCAGAACTGCAGTGGGCAACGACTCGCCTTCCTTCTCGAGTTTGCGTCGAAGGTTCTCCATGGCCTCCATGCGGATGCGTTCGACGTTCTTCTCGCTTCGGAATCCCAGGTACGGCCAGCGTCGAATGCCCAGAGATCGGCACACGCGGATGAGAGTGCGGCTGCTGATACCGAGATCTTCGGCGGCTTTCTTGGCGGTGAAAGTGAAAAGCTCAGCAAGTACGTCGAAGGACAGCGTCTTGATGCCGTGTCTTGTGTGGACGCGGACGACATACGACGCGTAGGATGCTGCAAGCGCGTTCTTGTGGCGCAACATGGCAGGAAAAGATGCGGCCGGTGGCGCAATGGTGTGCACGGAAGGTAACGGGCTGGTCATGGTTGAAGTGGTGTTTCCCGGTGTTTGGTGGACTCGAGGTCGAGTGGGTGGAATGGATGCTCGGTGAATCACGTGACGACCGAGAGCTCAAGTTACCAGAGACCGTGCGTCGCTGTGGGGCTGGCGTTGTCTTGGCTGTGGCAAATTTGATAGTGACACTGGAGGCCACTTGTCCAGAATTTGTGGAGGGGCTAAGAACGGTGGCGACATGCACTGGAAGGACCCAGTGGTGGAAGAAGAACTACGTTTGACGTGGCCAGCATAGCGGCGAGAGGTAACCGAATGCGTCGTACGGCTACTTTTTCCATTATTTTGCGTCTTTCCAGTGCCTTGCAACCTGGTTTGTCCTGCAAACTGTGCCCTAAATGAGTGACTCACGCGACGGTTTTAGCGTTCCCGTTTTTCGACGGAACTTGCGCGCAACGGCGACCGCCATGTCGTCGCACTGAAATGCTGCCGGGTGGAGCGCTCTCTTGTCAAACCCGCCGGAAGCGGTCTAATTTGCGTTGGGGAAGGGGTCTAAACTGTAGACTACAAGGGGTCTGCACGTCACCGATTACACTGGACTTTTCGAAATCGGACAGACCCGGTGTGTAAGTGTGTGACTGAAACGCTGGAATAGTCAGTTGTGGTAAGTGCGTACCACTCGACTACCCAAAGGACACTTCAACATGACGGAGCTTTTGGATGGCGATTAGCAGCGAGAGGCCTGTCCTTTGAGAAGACGCTTTGTTTGATCGCTGCAATACCGTGGGGTGTGGCGCCAAGCGATATCTATAACCGACATAGCTGATTCGTGGGATACCGGCCTTTGGGGAGACGTAGCATCGCGACAATCTCGGGCGGCAGGTCAACCATGACGGAACAAGTCTATCGTGACGAACTGTATGCGTGAAAAAGGCAGCAGTGGGAGGTTCCCTCCAGATGGTACCCAGTGGCTTCAGGTGCTCGAGAATAATAGGCAAGCAGCGTTCAGATCGATAACAGACCCCATTGCTACTGCACTGCCTGCCTGCGATGCACAAGAAAGCAGGCCTGACAGAGTTCAGCCTGTGCAACAACCCGCTTCATTTCGACAAAAGAAACGGCGTGGTCTTGTCGCCAGTCGATAGGCCGCCACGCAACAAACAACACTGACAGAACGGTCAAGGATGGCACACCGTCATGGCAAATGTGTTTGCTGGATTGTCACCCGCTTTCGCAATTGACCACCGACGGAAAATTCCCCCGATACAGGTACAACTTGGCCATGGCGATCACGTGAAAAAACTCCATTCGAAGAGCGCGTCGCCGCCCTCGACGTTGTCTTAGTCGTACTGGCATACCCATGGGTTCGCTAGTTTCCGTGGAGCTAGCGTCAGCGACGCCGTCACTCGTTGGTCAGTCGCTCTTGACTGCGCACAGGCTCGAATAAGGCCCTTTGTTATCTCAGTCAACGCTCATTAAACGCCGTTATGGATCGAAACTGCGTCTTAGCACTCACTCTCTTCATATATTACTCGTCCACCTTCTGTCACTAGAGAGCTCCAAGGCCGACGCCTTCGAATCCACCGCTAGTGATCTCCATCGCCTCTGCCGCTGCTGACTCGTCGAGCGCACGACGAATGGCAGACGACGTGCTGCTCTTCTGCTTCTTGATCTTGGGAGACTTGGCTGGTCGCGTCACGTTCTGCCAGTGGCAACAAGGAGATTCATCAGCAAAATAAAATAAGATAGCCCAAGAATAAATGGCATCTTATAATATTTAGTGCCACGTACAGTGCTGACTCCCAGCTTTTTGCACAACGCCTCAGCCTCCGCCCACTTGAGCACGCCGTACTCGAGGCACCACTTCTGCGCCATGCGACTGTCCGGTCGCTGCTGTAGCAGGCTCTCGTAGAAGACGCGGTCCGCAAAGCCCGGCGACGGCGTCGGGTGCTTCTGGCCAGGCTTGCGATTGGCTTCCTGCTCCTTCGACCATTCCTCCTCCTCGATCATCTTTCGGAAATGTAGTGACAAAGAGATATTTTATGATGGAAATGATGTGGCGTACATACTGCTGTGTTCAGCACATGGATTTCACACGTCTCATATTTTCAAGTACCTTGTCACTTCAATATGGAACTCTATGCGAGTGAGGAGCTCTCGCGCCAGTGTACACTTTCGTGTATTGCGCTTTCCTCAAACGACGCTCATTTTTAGGCAGCAAAGCCCATCGTTCGAGGACAAAGCATAGTGAAAAGTGGTCGTCGAACAGAGGACGGAGATCAACAAAAAATGAATGGAAAGCAAGCAGCACTACAGCAGCCGACTTCACAGTCAGGGAACCCGAAAAATATATTTTTCGAAAATATATTCATATTTTTGCCATAAAAAATATTTCGGTGTGGCACACATGCCGGATACGTATTTCCGAATGTTGTGTACGGCGACACATTATTTATTTTGCTCGGGCAACTGGAACCAGTGGTTGGGTGGTTGGTTCTGAGGATTCTAGTATCTCTGTAGCTCGTTTTCATGTTCATTCTGCAATTTGCAAATTTACCAACCTGCCTTAACCGCAACCGTCATGTCTGACGCCCTTGTCGCCACGCCACGCTCGAAGAGCAAGTTCACGCCGAAGCAGATCGCCTGCTTCTACGTTAAGCCCTATCTTACCGAGGACGGGGGCCCCACTGGCCTTCAAGTCTGCAAGGCCTGTGGCAAGACACGGAAAAATGCAACCAAAACTGGGTACACCAATCTGGTGTCCCACGTTAAGTCCGACCACGGTAACTTTGAGGTCGAGATGGAGGCCGCCAGCACCGTTGCCGCGGGGACGCTACTTCCGTGGGTGCGTCAAAAGGCATCCAATCGGCACGCATGGCTCAAGTGGATCGTCAAAGGAAACCGCTTTCTCTCCTTCGTGGAGATGGAGTCTACAAGACGGTACGTAATCAGCGAGGGTACTGTACCGTTCTTACTGATTTCAATTAATTGTTTTCTAAATATTTATTTCTATGTAAGTTACACCATTTTGGCGACCGTGTGTGAAGAGACCATAACACGCGACATGGAGAGCGTCACAAAAAAAAAAATGGTCGAGCGGAGCATCGGCGACAAGCTCCCGAAGCGGTTTGGGGCATATTTGGACGGATGGACTCACGGCGGCGAGCACTACCTTGCAGTGCACGCGTGCTACGACAAGGATGTGGTTTGCCCCTGCCCCCTGCTCTCTATGGCTTCAATCATCAACGGGTCGGATGACTGGCTCAACGCCGAAAGCCACATGTCGTTTCTACCGTTTTTCGGTATGGACCTCTCTAATGTCATATTTTTGGTAGGGGATAATTGTGCAGTAAACAGACGGCTAGCCAAGCTGATGGGCGTACTGCTTGTCGGCTGCGCAAGTCATCGCCGCAATTTGGCTGTCCGGCGTTTTCTGAAGCCCTACGAGAAGGAGCTGGAGCAGGTGGCCAGTCCCTCATGAAGCGACAGTCACCCAAGCTGCTAAATTAAGCTATGTAAATTATATATTTTCATCCTTTTTTTTACAAATATTAATTATATTTTATTAGATTTTTAAAGCTTCTTTCTTGTATTACAGACTGAAGACCCCTCTCCGGCCAAAACTACGTCAGGACACACGGTGGGGATCGACGTACACGATGCCGGCTCGCTACTTTGAGCTCCGCGAGTATATCAGCGCGGACGACGAAGAGCTGGCCGAGGAGATGCCATCGCCGGCGGCGAACAGCAAGCTCAAGACACTTCTCGTCCAGCTGGCCGATGCTCCGTACGTCGCCATGAAGTTGCAGTGTGAAGATTGAAATTTGCTGGACGCGCGAGACCTGCTCAACGGTATGTTGGAGGTCATGCCATCATTTGGCGACTATCTCGGTACGTCTACAACAAGATGGAAAAAATTGAATTTTATTTTTATTCATTAATATTTTGTGTTCGTGTTTGCAGCACCAAATGCTGAAATTGTGCATTCACCAGACTTTGAGTCGGGTGTCTTGAAAGTGCTGGGATCGCAAGTTAAAAAGCTGACTCGTGCAGAGAGGTCATCGGTGCAACCGTTTCTCCGCCGTGCTCCTCTTCCGGTTTATCAGGTGGAACCGACTAAAGTCGGTTTCGCTGATCGAATTTTAAAACGGCGCAAGGTGGACGATGCACCAAGCGCATACGTCTTGCTCGGTGCAATCCAACCGACATCAAACATTGTCGAGCGTTTGTTTAGCACGGCCCGGATGGTATTACGCTACGAGCGCAACCGCCTATCGCCGCTGACACTCGAGATGATCTTGTTTCTCAAGGTCAATCATAAGTACTGGAACGTTACTACCGTCGACGGTTGCATCTATGTAGGATGTGGTGAACATGCACAATAATTGCACTGATAATGTATTAGTGTTATGTTCAAGCTTCAGTTATTTATTTCTACTAGCGGGGCTTTTCCTCACGCAGTGTTATGTTCAAGCTTCAG